CAGCTCAGGTCATGATCCCAGGGTCCTGGGATCGAGCCCCACATCGGGCTCTCTGCTTAGCAGGGAGCCTGCTTCCCTTCCTCTCTCTCTGCCTGCCTCTCTGCCTACTTGTGATCTCTGTCAAATAAATAAATAAAATCTTAAAAAAAAATACGGTTGTGGTAAGCAAGTTTCTAGGACTCATGGATATTAAAAGTCCAGTTGGATATTAAAAGTCCAGTTCATTCTTAACCAGGATCTCGCCTGTTTTGGGCTTTTCAATTCAAATAGTGCTGTCTAAATCTTGCATAAATTTTAGGTTCTTTAGTTTATTTAACTGTTGTGTTCACTCTTAGGGTTTTTTTCATACCACCCCTCTACCAGTTCTATAGATTTCTTTGTAGAGCATTTCTCTCTTTAAGCAGATTAGTTGTTTTCCTCCTGTCTTCATTTGAATGTAAGCTTCATGAAAGGAGGAGCCCTTTCTGTCATTCTGCCACTGTAGCTTGCAGTCCAGAGTAACACATCCTAACTACTTAAGTATTTGTTGTATTGCATGAAAGAATGAGTATCTCTGTGTGTAGGCTTTACAGTTCTATATGCTTTCCAGCCTATTTTATCATAACAGTCTAGGACATGTTGAAACGTTTTACTTTTATTTTTAAATCTACAAATTTTTATTTTTTAAGATTTATTGTCAGAGAGCAAGCATGTGAGCACAGGGAGCGGGAGAAGCGGGTTTTCAGCTGAGCAGGAAGCCCAACGTGGGACTCGATCCCAGAAGCCTGGGATCATGACCTGAGCTGAAGGCAGACACTTAACCAACTGAGCCACCCAGGCGTCCCTATTTTTAAATTTTTATTTTTTAAAATATTTATTTATTTATTTGGCAGGCAGAGATCATAAGTAGGCAGAGAGGCGGGGGCGTGGTGGGGGGAAGCAGGCTTCCCGCCCTGCAGAGAGCCCAATGTGGGGCTCAATCCCAGGACCCTGAGACTACAACCTGAGCCGAAGGCAGAGGCTTTAATCCACTGAGCCACCCAGGCACCCCAATTTTTAAATTTTTAAAAGATTTATTTATCTGAGGAAGTGTGCAAGCACAAGCCAGGGAAAGGGCAGAGGGAGAGTATCCCAGCAGACTCCCGCTGAGCAGGGAGTCTGACACAGAGCTCTGTCCCACAACATGAGGTTAGGACCTGAGCAGAAACCAAGAGTTGGACACTTAACTGACTGAGCTATTCACGTACCCTGAAACATTTTTGTTTCTAAAGAACATTTAAATCCTGTGTTTTCAGACTGTGCAGAAGGAGTTTAAAAATGTGGCCTTTAAAAAAAATCCCATTTTGTTAAGCCCTTGAGGAAAGCTCCCCTGAGGAAAGGGAATTTGGGATAGTGACCATAAATCTTTAAAAAGTGGCGATTCATAAGCAGCGGAGAGAATTGAAATTTAGTAGATTTGAGGTTTTTGGAAAAACTTCCTTTACTCATCTTTATCTCTCCCAGCACAGCCCCACACACGCACTTTGTAAAGGCAGGGAGAGGAGAGCACGGGGAGGTTCAGTTGGGGAAGGAAAGAATTCAGTCACCTGAGGTGGTTTAGTCCTTAAGTACATTAAATGGAGCAAGAGGGTGCTCGTGAATTACTGAAAGTCTGTCTCTGTAAAGTGAGGAGAAGCCAGTAAGTAGTTAACAGCACTCAGTTTAGTGAGCATGGGAATCTCTTGGAGAGTTGTAAGAAACATTCTTTAGTTGCTGCCTCATAAATCCTGATTGCAAAACACAGGAATCTGTATAAATCACGGACACCCAGGTGTTTGCTGTTGGGGCTGGTTTGAGCACCGCACTTAGGACAGACTGCTCTAAGTGATAGACCGGAGAATAGTTAAAACTAGGTGAATATGATTAAGTTTTGGCAAAAAAATGTTTCTGATTCTAGAAATAATAATATTGATTTTATATGTAAAAAACAGTCCTGCTTCTTACTGCTGTGGGTATGTGAGAAGGCACCCCAGAATGCCAGTGGTGGCTGCCTGGTACACGAAAAATGTGTTGATTTTAAAAGCCGTTTCGGGCTTAAACCGAATAGCCAACTCATTTTATAGAGTGGAAATACTACTTTAAGTGAACCGCTCCATCCGTTTAGGTGCAGGATTTGCTAACGTCTGTCTTTTTAAGTCTCCCTTGATGTTTCCCAATTGGATTCGAAGTTGGGTGGGGGTTCCTAGTTTGATTCAGCCTCCATTTAATCTCAGAATCCTATGGATTTTTACTCAGATGGATTGTAGCAACAATAAACTCATAGTTTCCATTTTAATTCCGTTAATCCTCACAGCAACTCTGTGAACTTGTGTACTGTTTAGACCCATTTTACAGATAAAGAAACAGACCCAGAGAGAGGTTCAGGGATTGGCTCAAGGTGATACAGCTAGTCGCTGGTGGTGAGGAATTCACGTCCAGATTGTTCTTAAGCCCTGTACTTGCATGAGTGACCAATTTGATACCACTTTGAGGAGTGCTTCCAGGGCTGCTGGTGAATGTACTTAAACTTAGGCTCCCCTCGGTCTTCTGGTAGGATTTCTTGGTCATTTTGATGTTACAGAAGTGATCTTGAACATCTTTCTTCTGTTACATAACTTAAAATTAAAAAAAAAAACTCTTTCCAATAACTTAAGTTGAAGCTTTTCTCATAAAATTTGGTTGAAAAAGATGCAATTTCTCATGAATCACATCTGTCTTTAGTGTATCTAGTGGAATGTAGTGCTATAATGAGTTGGTGTCTACCATGATTGCTTTAATAAAAATAAACAATTCAAATTTAACATGGTTCCTTTTTTTTTCCCTGAAGATTTTATTTATTTATTCGACGGGGAAAGAGAGATCACAAGTAGGCCGAGAAGCAGGCAGAGGGAGAAGGGGTAGGCAGGCTCTCTGCTTAGCCCCATGTGGGGCTGGATCCCAGGACCCTGAGATCCTGACCCAAGCGGAAGGCAGAGGCTTAACCACGAGCCACCCCGGCGCCCCAACACTGTTCCTTTTTCCTTCTTGAAAAACTGTTACATTTCCCCCACAAAATGTTTACCTAATAAATTTTTGTGCTTAGAGTTCTTACTGATCATCCTTATGTTCTTTGCAGCGTATTTGTATATAAGTTGAAATGCTGGATTTTGCCATGACCAGAAGATACCAAATGTTCATATTTTGTTGTTAAAATTGTAATTAACACACAGTTGACCCAAACAGCAAATTGTGTATATTGCACTAGGAGTAAAGCTTTATTGAAATGCCCCTCTTAAGAGGTGGGGGATTATAGGGTTCCCATTAAATTAGAAAGCTTCGTTGACCAGTATTTTAAATTGTGTTCTGGTTGGCTTCCCAAAGATTTCTAAATGTAGGTTAAGTATATGTATAGGTTTTTAAATACAGGGGACCAAACTAAAATTGAAGATGGGTGAGGAGGGAAGATAGGTAAAGAGAATAGCCCTCGTGCATTGGCTGCAGGTGCGTCTATAGGCACAGCAGCTTTACGTAAGCGCTTTCTGTGAACTTGAGCATCTAGAAAGCGTTCCTTGAACTCCATGCGCACATGTTCCTTGGGAAATCTTGGGCTCTAGGTACCTTAGCAGACAGCAGTTCTCGAGAATTCCTTGCAGTGTGCTGGAAATTGTACCAGGATGTTCACCTTTGCACTATTAGAGCAAAGAAGTATTTAAAAATAATAAGCGTATATAGATAGATGTGCATTCTCTAGGGGAAATCCCGTGTGGCACTTAAAGTTGCAAAATTTAAATATTTCAATTTAGAACAGTTAATACTGTATTCATAGAGAGGAACCTTGAATAACAGGTTTCATTGAACTTCACGGTTCCATTTATGTGCGGGTGGGTTCTAGCCATAAATCCAGTACATATAGTATGTAATTGGGTCTTCTCAAATCTTTTCTCTACCTTGCCTTATTGTAAGAATACAGTAAAAAATACAAACAAATGTGTTAATTGACTTATTGGTAAGGCTTCTAGTCAACAGGCTATTAAGTTTTGGATGAGTCAAAGATACACAGATCTTCAACTGTGGGGGGGTTGGATGTATCTAACCCCCCATTTCACTATAATATCTGAAAAAAGCAACATTTAAATTCATGGTGGTGGGAAGCATATGGGACAAGTGGGGTTATGCCTAAAAATGAAGATAAAAAGGAATTTACTTTTTAAAGATTTATTTTAGAACATGGGGTGGCGGGGAGAGGGGGAGAGACTCAAGCATGCTCAATCTCACGACCTGAACCAACATCCAACCATTGGACACTTAACTGACTGCTCTACCCAGGTACCCCAAAAGGACTTTGCTTTTTAAAAATATGTTTATCAATTCAAGATGGTAAGCACATAAAGGTCAAGTTCTTTGTTCTTGCCATTTTTTCATTTTCCCAAAGTATGTGTGAAACAAAAAATATGTGGGAAGAATATTTTGTTTTTTGTTTTTTTTTTTTCAAGATTTTATTTATTTGACAGAGGGAGAGATCACAAGTAGGCAGAGAGGCAGGCAGAGAGAGAGAGGGGGAAGCAGGCTCCCTCTTGAGCAGAGAGCCCGATGTGGGGCTCGATCTCAGGACCCTGGGATCATGACCCGAGCTGAAGGCAGAGGCTTTAACCCACTGAGCCACCCAGGCGCCCCGGGAAGACTATTTTGACTAGCTTGGTAGTAAAAGCATGGGTAGTACTGATGAATGAAGTGCCAGTGAGCAGTCATACTGAAATTAAGCTATCCGAAGTAGGTGTGTAAATTCGTTCCTGTCAGCATGAACCTCTTAATGTATTTATTTCAATACTGCAGAGTTTTGTGTATGGTTCTTTTAGGGCTGTGACTGGGACTTCCTGGGGACAGGTGAAGGGATAGTGTCCAAAATTTAAGACTTTTGGCTTTAATAAGTATCTTTGCCTAGATTTCCTAGGTGTTAAGCTTTCTACAGTTCTTCTAAAATGTCTTCCTTTCAAATTCTCAGTGTTAAAGACCCAAGCACCAGATTCTTCATAATTTTTATTCAAGCAGCAATACATACAGGAGCTGAAAAAGATCATCACATTGATTAAAAAATATTAAATACCAATTAAATAAGAGATTCCCCCAATAGCATTTATTTTTGATTGTAGAACTTGAATATCTTTTGCACGGATACTTTTCTCTGGTTATCACTTGATCAGAAAAAATACTCGTCCCAGTTCAAACATGACCTTAGGGTGATAAGAAGTGAAATTTGTTAGTTTCATAGCAAATCACTGGTAAAAACCTAAATGATTTTTCCAAAATTGTGATTATTGAAAAATGCTCCTGAAGTCTTTCCCACATGGTAAGCTGTCCAGATGTGAGGCAAAGGTTCTTGCTGCTGGGTTGTACATTACAAATGTGCAGCTAGAATATTCTCTAAATGCTATCTTCATAAATGCAACGCCTCCAAAAGTCACACTGTGCATTTGCAGTATTACCACAGTCACTTGAAACTTGCCTCCCTTCCAGAGAGATTTAGTAATTAGAACAAAGCTATGCTCTTTTCCACTGTCATTTTCTATGTCAAATTATCTTTATTTTCATTTTATTTTTTTTAGATTTTTAATTTTTTTTTTCTAGTTACACCCCATGTGGGGCTTGAACCCACAGTCCTGAGACCAACAGTGTCCTCCCCCACTGGCTGAGCCAGTCAGGCGCCGCTGTTTCCTCCTACGCGGCTGTTTACCTCGATGGTGATGAGGATGACAATCATCCACTCCAGGCGGAGCGCCCTCTTCTCAGTCAGGTGATTCCGCATTAGATCTGTCAGCTCCATGCAGTGCTGAAGCTTCTCATTCATAACCTGCGTTAGGAAAACCTTAGGAAGCACCTGTATTTATATTCAAACAGGTTTAAGAACTAAGTAACGTCACATTTCAAAACTGTCCAGGTCTGAAATAGGTAAACAATTTATCCTCCCAAGTGTCGCTCCGCTCTCTCCCTAAGGCAACCTGCCCGTGGGAACCTGCCTCCCGGGAGTCCGACTAGAGACACTGATTCGCACAGACCCAACTGCAGGAAGTACTTCATCTATTGAAGCTCCTGCATTCTTAAGATTTGATGGAAGATGTAAAAAAAGGTTTTGAGTCCCAGTTTCTGGTTAGCTGCCCTTGGGAGTTTCGCAGTTAAGAAAGGCAAATTTGAAACGTGTTGTGGCCAAAACACCCGAAAAGATAAAAATGATGATTACTTTCTAAAATTGTTCAGGCTCTGTGCAAGCCCCCAGACCGTACCATTTGGCTGGGGGCACACTTGCCACTAGTTGGCACTGCTTTTAGTGAACTGCAGAACTTTGGGGTTCCAATGCCCCACCACGTGCTGTTTGGGGCAGGGTCACAGAAAACAGAATCTTTGGCGGGGGGAGTTGTTTTTCTAAAAAAGATTTTATTATTTTTTTTAAGATTTTATTCATTTATTTGACAGATAGCGATCACAAGCAGGCAGAGAGGCAGGCAGAGAGAGCGGGGGAAGCAGGCTCCCCGCTGAGCAGAGAGCCCGACGCGGGGCTCCATCCCAGGACCCTGGGATCATGACCTGAGCTGAAGGCAGAGGCTTTAACCCACTGAGCCACCCAGGCGCCCCTAAAAGATTTTATTTTTAAATAACTTCTATACCCAATATGGGGCTTGAACTCATGACCCCGAGATCAAGAGTTGCATGCTATACAGAATGAGCAGCCAGGCGCCCCAGAAAACAGTCTTTGAATTTAAGACTTGGATGTGACCACCAGTGGTTGGACCTCCTTAATCTCTGTATCTCACTTTCTTTTGAAAATTGGAAAAAGTCTGGAAACCTTTTTTAAAATAGTCTGATTCTCCCTGATTCCTTACGGGTTTGGTCTGGACATTTGAGACCATTATCACAGATGCATGTTTGGGGATTGATAGAAAGGTGCCAGCGTACCCTATGGACTGCGGCTGTGCACAGAGCCTTAAACTGCCTCAGGAGCGCCCGGGTGGCTCCTCAGTTAAGCATCTGTCTTCCACTGGGGTCATGATCTCAGGGTCCTGGGATCCAGCCCTGCGTCCTGCTCCCTGCTCAGCGGGAAGTCTGCTTCTTCCTCCCCCAACCCCGTCCCCTTGTGCTCCTTCTCTCCTCCCTCTCTCTCAAATATTAAAAAATAATAATAAACTGCTTCAATAAGGAGAACACAAGGGACCACAGTTATAAGCATATATTCACCATGTTTCCAGCCTTTATGGCCATCCTGTAGTTTGCTCCGTGCAAATGCTTACAATAGTGCCTCCTCTCCTTTCTCGCCCTCCTTCCCGGTGCTAATTGGCTACTTGATCTTGCTCTAGAAACATGCTCATCCGCAGGCTTCATTCTCTTCCAGGTGACTAAACAGACACGTTCTTCCCCACTTCTTCATCACCCGCTTTACTCTTTAGCCCTTAGCAACTGCATATTACAACTCTTCTGGAACTTGCAAATGTCTCCGAATTGGTAAATCTTAACAATTTTTCTTGGTTCTAAACCTCAGCGAACTCAAGCATTTGATAGCACCTTGAAAGGCACACTTCCTTTGGCTTTTTCTCCCCTAAGATCTAGGTTCTACCCCGGACTACCATCTTTTCCTGGGTTTTCTCTGCCCTCTCCTGTCTTTAGATGACATTTCCCAAAGTCCTGATCTTGCCTTCTTGTCTTCTAGCTCTACGCTCTGTACCATCTCACTCACTTTGGTTTGTGTAGACGCTCCCGAAACTTTGGTCACCTTGCATCCCACCATCACTGCTTCTGTGAAGTGTATGTGCCGCCTGGACTGTTATGTCATTTCCAAAAGACAAACTGTTCTTAATATGTTTATTTAAAAGTAAACTGTCGGGGCACCTGGTTGGCTCAGTGGGTTAAAGCCTCTGCCTTCGGCTCAGGTCATGATCCCAGGGTCCTGGGATCAAGCCCTGCATCAGGCTCTCTGTCAGCTTGGAGCCTGCTTCCCCCCTCTCTGCCTGCCTCTCTGCCTACTTGTGATCCCTCTCTGTCAAATAAATAAAGTCTTTTAGAAAAAATGCTTAAAAAAAAGCAGTAAACGGTCATCGCATTAAATGGACAACAGCGTGACGTAAAACAGTGTTGCCTTCAGGAAGCTGAGCCTGACGCCCAGGAAAGTGGGAGGAGCATACATTAGAGGGCCCATCAGGAGCCACTAAACCACCAAAACCAAACTCGTTCAGGGTCCAGGTGTCACCTAAATTCCGCTCTTGAACAAGTGTATGTACCCCACACTTTGGGAAAGACTTAAACGATCTCTTCTACTCCCAAATATAACTGTGTAATTCTGGTTTCTTCTTTGACTGAATTTCTACCTGCCTACAAAACATCTTACGGGTTTCCTGACCACACCTCAACTTTAATGTTTCTCAAACTAAAACTGACATCCTGTCCAAGTCTATCCCTTGTCTTGCGTTCCCTTCTCCGATCAGGTCATGCTGTTCCCAGTCACCTGGGGTGGAGATTATTTCTTCTAAGATTATTTTTTTAGGGGCCCCTGGGTGGCTCAGGTGGGTTAAAGCCTCTGCCTTCAGCTCAGGTCATGGTCTCAGGGTCCTGGGATCGAGCCCCGCATCGGGCTCTCTGCTCAGAGGGGAGCCTGCTTCCCCCTCTCTCTGCCTGCCTCTCTGCTTCCTTGTGATCTCTCTGTCAAATAAATAAATAAAATCTTAAAAAAAAAGATTATTTATTTGGCAGAGAGAGGAGAGCACGCACAAGCAGGAGGAGTGGCAGGGAGAGGGAGAAGCAGACTCCTTGCCAAGCATGGAGCGTGATGTGGGACTCGGTTAGTGACCTGAGGTAAGGGGAGACGCTTAATGGACTGAGCCACCCAGGCACCCCTGGGGTGGAGATCTTTGATCTCTAATTCCCACTCCCTACAGTTATGCCCCAAGGTGGACAGTCTTAAATCTACCCCCTTCTTAGCATTCCTTAATACTACACAGAAGGTCTTCATGAAATATTACTTGTTAAGAACAGATCCACTCCCCCCGCACCCCGACTGGCATCAAGGTTCTCATTCTAAGCAGCTGGATCACGTCACTCACCCATTCAACAGCTTTAAACATTTTAGCATCCACTGCCTTCTCGATAACATGAAACGATCCCAGATCATCTGGTCCAGTCACGCTTCAGAGGATGGCGCCCTGTGCCTTCCAAGCCTGCTCTTTCCTCGGTGCTCCGAAAGCACCGCTTCCTTATTTTAGCGCTTCCTTCATTCTGCCTCACAGCCATCTGCTGGCTGCCCAGCTCCCTTCCCCTTCCCCTCCCCCCCTGCCCCCCACACTTTGGGGAGTGACTCTTCCACCTGATGTGGCCAACCATGATCTCAGCATCCACCTGACACCCTCCCAGTGCTCCCCCCGAAGCCCCAGGGTGGAAGGGGGCGGCTAGAAGACCCAGGGGCTTAGCCAACCATAGCGCCCACTTCCTCCTCATATGGCTGGTCAAAGATGGACACATGTGCCAGTCCTCTGAAGTTGCCAGGAAGGGTGAAATGTAAACTTGGAAATTCCCTCTTCCCACACCCATTTCTCCCATTTCCACAGAGAAGGCCACAAGGAGGCCAGCTTGGCTCAGAAAGTGGCGAGGAGAGACTGACTTATTTGGATCTGTGCGATAGACATTCCCCACTCCCACACTCTAGCCTTGTTCTTCTCAGCCTTTCATGGTGCTAAGTAAGTTAGCTCATTCAAACTTTTCTGTGGTGTGCAAGCAAGACAGTCCTGGCTTCCTGCTTCACGGAGCTATAGAGTCATGCGTGCTACCTGCACACACGTGAGGAGCACAAGGAAACATGGATGGTACCACAGAGGTGGGAAATGGGGAGTAGGCGCTCAACAGGTGGGGAGTGGGCACCTGGGTAGCTCCGTCAGTGAAGTGCCTGCCTTTGGCTCAGCTCATGATCCCAGAGTCCTGCGATGGGGTCCTGGGGTCCTGCACTGGCTCCCTGCTCAGCGGGGAGCCTGCTTCTCCCTCTGTCCCTCCCCACTCCCCCTCCCCCACTCATGCTCGCTCGCTCTCTCCCACACACAAAAATAAATAAAATCTTAAAAGAGATAGGCAGGTGCCAGGAAGAAAGGGTAGGGAGCCAAGGGAAGGGGAGAGCGCCTAAGACAGGAAACAGCACAGAGGCAAAGCATGCTAGATACTTGGAAGGAAGTACCTGAAAATGAGGTTAAAAAGGTAAGTTAGTGCCAAATTGCGAGTGGAACGGTGTGACTAGGACATGGCAATAGGAACAGGATTCCATATGGAATTAATGTCGGAAATCAGCTGACCTTAAGACAGGGAGCGAAACCTAGATGACTTGGGGGGGGTGTCCAGTGGAATCACGGGGGTCCTTCAAAGTGGAACTGGCAGGTATAAGAGCTTAAAGTGATGCTACGCGAGGAGTCCTGAACTCGCCTCTGTTACAGGGAAGGGGCTGCAGGCCAAGAATGTGGGCAGCCTGTAGGAGCTGTGAAAGGCAAGGAAAGAGCCTTTCCCTACGCACAGCCTCCAGAAAGGAACGCAGCCCTGCCAACACCTTGATTTTGGCTCAGTGACTGTCAAGTCAGACTGCTGACCTGCAGAGCTGTCATACAATGCATTCATGCTGAGCCAGGTGGGCTAATTTGTTACAGCAGTAAGAGAAACTTACTGCACCACGCTGTAACACTGGAATTTTATTCTGTAGGTAATGTGGAGACCTTCGCTCAGTGTTCAAATATTGGTTGTGTTGTGACTCGTGCTAGGCAAGGAGATGGAATGGTGAACCAGACAGACACATCCCTGCCTTCCAGCTCAAGGGTGCAGTGGAGAGGATGGAGG